ATAACTCATGAGATTGTATTGGTTTCCCAATACAATCTTATGAATTATTATTGCATTTTTATAATTATTACAATTATAGATATGGTAGTGACATTTTCTTAAATTTGAAGATCGCACTGATCGATTCTATAGTATCATAAATAAACTAAATTACCTATTCAAGGGATATCATCTTTGGCAGTGCATAGACCTTGTGTCTTTTAAATTCATTTCTTACTTTTTTGGAACCTCAGAAGTTCTTTAACCCACATTGGATTTTTAGTATTATAAAACACAACTGCGCAAGTAAGATATAATGATTTTTAAGTTAAAAGCATAGTAGTGTATTTAACTAAGATAATCGGGTTTCTGAGCATAGCCAATTTGCTTGCAATTGTTTTTCAAAGTAAAGGAATAGTATTTCAGATACTGTTGAATCTCCCAAAAACAATATGCATGATAGACAGATTTGTATCGATATTAAGAGATTACCAAGTTTGAAAACATTATAAACTATATATTATATTTATATATCAGGAATGACTTAATGGATTAATTTTTTATCAAATTGACAGGTTATCAATTTTGATAGGATCAGTTTTGGAAGGTTCAATAGCAGTAATTTTTTGCAAATATAATTCTTTATACAAGCTTATTTATTTTGCTATTTAGTTATATTATTTAGTTATTTAGTTTATTTAATTTTATTTTGTTTAAAATTTTAAAAAATTATAATTTTTTAATTTATATTGTCCAGTGATTATTTTTCTTAATCTATTGCTTTCCACTGGACAATTCGGACACTAGACACTAGACACTGGACAAATTTCCAATTGTCCAATTGTCCAGTTGCCCAACCTTAATAACAATGACCTTATATATACTCAACTAATCATATTAATCGAACATACTTAAAAAATTTTTACCAAAATAATTACCTATCAACTAAATAAAATCTTTACCCAATATCCAATCCTAAATTCAAATAACAATGTAGCACTTCTATTTACTTCTACTCTTCAACCTATTCAAACTATTTCTTATATAATAGAGCATGCCAATATAACAAAAAACAAATACTGGATCTTAGCATAAGATATGTCCAAAGCCTACGATACAGTACATATCCCTTTACTAATCAAGACCTTTCAATGAATTTATATTCCTCTTTTAATTATAAACTTATTAAATCATTTTTTAAACAACCAACAGAATTCTGTTATTACAAGCATTGGACTAACACAACCTTATACTGTACAAGATGAAATTGATTAGGAAGAGATCTTTTTTCCAATCCTATAGCAGATCTACCATAATCCACTTATCAATCGAATCAATACAACATATCAAAGTTATCAACTTAATATTTATACATATTCCTCTAATATATCAATACATACTTTTGTAGTACTATATATGGATGATACAATATGAATAGCCAAAGATAAACAAGAGTTACAAAACATACTAAAAACAGTCAACTCCTTTCTTTCTTACACCAACATCAAAGTCAACCCTCACAAATCAACACTAGTAAACTAATGATTCAGATTTTAATGCTAATATAATATTTCAAGAAAAGAATATTTCAAATATCCAACAAAAAGCAATATTTAGACATCTAGAAGCATGGCTTACTTAAGACCCATCTCTTCAACCTACAAAAAAATTCCTTATCAAAGACATTACTTCTAATTTAAACAAAATCAAATTTGCTAAAATAACTGACAAATAGACTATTTACATTATTAATAATGTAATTCTTATATATGCAGCATATTAGATGCAAAGTACTTATTTATCAAAATGATCTTGCAACTCTATTACAAAGCTATATACAAATATTATCAAACAAAAAGCTAGACTAGCTTAATCTACTCCTAACTTCACTCTATAGCATCCTAACTTATACATCCTGAATACACTTTACAATGTTTAATAATAGCAACAAATTCATATATTAGATAGAAGCATTAATTCATCTAACTTTGATACTTATAGTTTAAAAATTCAATTACAACAAATTCAAAATGCAGCTAACTCAAACAAATTAATCTTACTAGAACAACCTATATTAACTACAAATGAAGTTAAAACAAATACAGTCCAAATAATACTTACACTTTATTTATTAAATATTTAGCTAAAATACACAACTAACTTATGGCCTATTTCTAAACAAACAAAGGGCATATCCATTAACCAAATTCTCCAATCAATGAAACAACTATATGCAATCAAAAAAAAATTAAATAATCACAATATAACTTGTATTAAACAATTTCTTGACTATTCAAATTACAAGATTCTAAATTGGATATCTTTTTATCATAATATACAAAAAATACCAAGAGAGAAAACCCCAAAATGGTTCAAAGTAATCACAGACCATATAACTTTACTAACAAATCTGTCTACAATACTAATCTATTCTAACCCATATACCTTTATAAAAATCAACACTATGACTTCACAATGGATTATTACAAAATCACAACAATTTGGAAAATTAACAAGTATCATCAATAATCAAGCCAAAATCAAACACTACAATACTCATCTATTAAATGATCACCAATTAATATCATATCTTGGATGTTAAATCAAAAACCCAAAATTCAAAACAATCCATTGCTACTTTACTAATCCCATACACCAAACCTTCCAAATTCAAGTTGATTGTCACAAACAAATTCATGCAAACCTTAATGTTTATGCTCTCATCAAACAACTATACAATTTAAACAAACTCACAAATATTTATTTTCAACTTCAAAATATCAAACCAACTATTGACTTCTATAGACCTTTACAAATAACCAAGATAAAATATGAAATCTATATACAACAAGTTCTTTTTCGAAAGACCTAAACCTCAAACTTACAATTACTTTCAAAAAAACAAATAGATACAATACTCCTCATGCTCAATTATCATTTCAGCATAATGACTATATATAGCATTGCACCAACCAAACTTTCTCTTTCTTAGATTATACAATGTTTACAATGTTTGCAATAATCCTTATAACAATAACATAAGAAATGAAAATTCAAATATTAACTAATAAAAGCAACATTTTCAACAAAATTTCAACAATGCTTATGATGTTATCAGAACAAAAACATAAACTAAGGAATACTCCTTTTAACAATATCATTATTCTTCTTAATACCATAATCAATGCAAAAAATTTAAAGATCAAAATCAACTTAACAGAAGAAAAAATCAGTATAAAAAATGCCTCCTGCCAATTCCATATGAACCTGCTAACTAATAAAGTACTAAACACTACCTTTTCCCTCTTCATAATGAATACACCAACTACTTACACTATTTACCAAATATCTAAAACTTTACAATAAGCAGAAACAATCATTACATAGAATAATCAAAAGTGCATCAAACATATTTCTGATAAACTTCTGAACATCAATTGGAAACTTACATTCGAATATCTCAATTTTAAAAACAAACCTTTTAGTTAAAATACTGATCCTACAAATCTACTTTAAAAATATTCAAAATCAAAATTCTAACTTCTAAACTATCAACACATCTTAACTTTTATAAAAGAAATCCAAAAACCTATATTAACCCATACTGTGCAAATGCCCAAACATACTAGAAGATACAGTCTATATGCTTACCTGCCTGTATAACCAAATAGAATTGAAAGAAATAATAAAAGAAGCAATAACAAAAATCTGCAAAGATAATGAAAACGAAACAACAATATCAACAAATCTAGCTCAAGAAATACAAAACATCCACATAGATCAACAAATTCCAATTGGAATTATAACAAATAACTTACTCAAACTAGGCCTACTAAAAAAGAATTTACTACCAAACATTTATTACTGAATTACAAAGAAGATACACAAATATATATAGAACTCAAATAAGACTTATGTTCAACAACAGATTTCATCTGCACTAACTATTACCATTACTAACTCAGAACACACATTACTAACATTAATAGATAGACAATATACTTTATGACTTAATAGATTTATACTTTTAAACCAAACATCTTCTACTACTTAATCTATAAACTAGAAGTCTCTTAACCATTCTAGCTAAGAATAGGTTGAGGGTAAAGTAGCCCTAACTTCTACTCTCTTAGTTTAATGTATTAATTTGTACTAGTTGTACTTAATTATATATTACTGAAATAAAGAACTAGAGAAAAGATCTCTCTTAAAAAAAAAAAAAAAAAAATCATTAATAGTTTTAATTTTAATTTTAATTTTTTTTTAATTACTTAACTGTAGTTAATATACTGTACACATTAGAAGACCCAAGGTTTAAACTTATAAAATATCTGAATATATTGTATAACAAAAAAAACCTTTATTTTAAACTAAAGAAATAACATATAGTTTGTAATTTTAAAAAAGCCATTTACAATTAATAGAATTCTCAGGTATAATATATAAGAGATATAATTAAAAAAATTTTTTTTAATCAGTATAATACAGTAATATAATAAATCAGAATACTGAACTTTATTAAGTAATTTTGAAACAGTAATGTTAAACAGTATTATTACTATTATATATAAATAATAAGTTTTATTTTTTTTATTTTTTTTGAAGTTAAAATTCTTGACTTTGAAGAGTAATGTTTTTATTAAATATGGATGCTTTCAGACAGTGTTGTATATAGGACATTATTCTACAAATTTTTAGAAACTTAAATATTTGAAACAATGTCTTATATTTTAAATAATGTTTCAATTTAGTATTATATAGTACTTAACAAAAGTAATGTCTAATAATCAAATTTTATAATAAATTATATATAAAATCTTTTTTAAAATTTTATTACCAAAAAAAAATCAGTTTTTTTCAACTTAGTGAAATTAAATATTATAAAATATAAATATCAAATTTTTTAATTATATAAACTTACAAAATATTTATTATTTAAACTTTGAATTTTTAACAACTTTAAAATTTTAAGTTTTTATTATATAAATTTTGTAAAATTTGATAAAAATTATTAACTCTTTCTGATGATTATTTGTACTAAATTTTATTGCAAACAATTAATTATTATTTAATATTTTATTAAGTAAACTATTTTTGGATACTTAAATAAAGTTATTTTTAATATAATTTTATATTTAGACAGTCTAGTTATATATCTTTAGATCTTTTATTTATTCAGATATTTTTATGAAATATTAAAATATTTTTATTCAAGTTATTTTAAAATGATACTAATTAAACTACTTTTATATTTTAGAACAAAAAAAAAACCTTATTTACAATTTTATTTTGACATATAAATTATTAAAAACAACCTAAAACTAATTGATTTATTAGCAAATATATTAAAACTTTCTTGTAAAATTTTCTTTTAATTTTACAAATTTTTTTTTATTTTTTTTTGAAAGTTGATTTTGGTTTGTCTTATTCAAACCTATTTAAAACAGAATAACTAATCAATATTACATAATTTATTAATTCTAAATTTGTATTCTTATAATTTTATATAATTTTTTTGTTTAATATCAATTTAATCTACAAATAAATCTGCAAAGTATTATATTTTTTTGTAATATTTTTTTATTTGATATTCTTTGTATTTGTTATATTCTTTTTTTTTGGTTTTGCTAAGTCCATGATTATTGATAACTACTGCTTTTATTGTAATTTAATTATAGTTTATAACTTGTACAAAGTAAATATACAACTAACTACATATATAGTTTTTAGTTATCTATTTAAATAGTTTATCTGCAAGTTCTATACTAGCTACCATATCTATAATTTGTTAGAATATTATCTAATTAAATACTCTAATTCTTATATTACATTTAAGTACTATCTAACCTAATCTTAACCTTATTGTCTGTATATTTGTTAGAATGATACATATTTCAAAGTATATTACTTGACTATAAAACTTCAAAAAATCTTGCTGCTAACTAACTACTCATATTTAATTCTTGTTAATAAAACTTATCTTTATAGAGTTTACTTAGATTCTAATATTAACTTTATAACATATACCTAATACTTATAGTATACTTCTGTTTTAACATCAGACTCTCAATTCAAATAGTTCAAAAGAATTGTAACCTATTTCTAGTATATCAAGATTATAACATCTAATATTTTTTTTTTAGTTTAAGACTTCTAACAACCTAGTTAGTAATACTCCTTATTTAAGGTTCTTGTTTATCAAATTTTTTTATATTGGTATTTATTTTTTAGGTCTAGCTTTTATAATAATATTGTCAAAAATTTGTGTTACTATTTTATTTAGATCTTTTCAAATAGATTTTGGTTCCCAGTTCTATAGATTTACATAACTACAAGAACTTATCTTAAGTTTGCACTGCTTATTATTGGTTTGCATTCCTTTGTGTAGCTGGATTCAACTTTAACATAATTTATATAGCAGGTTTTACTAATTTACAGCTTAGGTTTTATTTTTTTATATTATTATTAACTTATAAACCATAGTAAGCCATAGTAATTTGTAACAAGTTTGCTAAAATATAACAAATTAGCCTATTTAAGTTATTTAACTAATAATTTTTATATTTCTAGATTTAATATAGAATTGCTAATAATCTTCTACTTTAAACCTTCAATCTTCAACTTGTATTTAATAAATTTTGATCTAAATAATTGCTAAATTTTTTAAATATATATTTTTATTTATATTCAACCTTTCTTTTTTAATATATTTTTAAAATATTGCATATTGGTAATAATCACCAGTAATAATAAATACAATATCTATTAAAACCCCAAAAGCAATTTTATTAAATTATATCTATTTTTTATACATTATATATATAATATATATATTTTATATTAAATTAATATGTCAAATAAAATTCAAAAAATCAAATTGATATTTTCTAAAAGTTTAATATGAATTAACTTTTTATTATAATTTTTTATTTAAAAATTGGGTTCTAAAACCAAACCAAATTTAACTTAGGTTTGGTACTTATTATATAAAGGCCCAGTTCTTGGGCTTGTAATTTGGAATCTAAAGGTTTTAGGACCTAAACCAAACCTATGCTACCATTTGCGCTATTACCATTTGAGTTGTCTGAAACAAAAAAGTCCGTAAATCTTAAAGCCCGAATATTAATTTCCTATTGAACAATAACAGTAATCATTCTTATTATTTAAATAAAGAAAAAAACCTTTAAAGCAATTAAACAATAAAATACCTTTGGATCAATATCCTTCAATTCGCCATCTGGAGTAGCATGTTCCCGCATATATTCTCTGATCGGAATCATAGCGGCATTCCGGCATGCTTCTTTCAAATCACTTCCTTTTGAAACCACAAAATTGATATTAATACTTAAAAAAGGAAAAAGCGACAATATATAACAAGAGCGTACCAGAAAAGTTAGCCGTTTGAGACACTAGTTGATCAAAATCAAAATTTTCCTCCAAGTTCTGATCCTGTAACATCTAAAAATTACATTTATATTATAATCAAGTTAAAGCATTTATATCGCTTGCGACGGGTTCATATTTGATTAATGTAAAAAATACTTACAATCTCGAGAATATTTCTTCTTTGTTCATCATTGGGTAACCGAATCGCAAAACGTTTGGGCATGCGACGAAGAATTGCATAATCTGATTTGGTTTAAATTATTTAAAAATAAATAAAGATATAATTCGATTATGAGATTTGGAATATATACCAATATCATTTGGTCTATTAGTGGCACCAAGAACCTAATAAATGTTACAAAGTCAGTTATTGGTGAAAACAAAGAGTACTACCTAAAATGATAATAATAAACTACTCACGACTATTCGTGTGTTTTCATTTGTCGTAAGGCCATCCCATAAACTACCCAAGTTAAATGAACATGTTAAAATGATTAAAAGATTTATATATTAATAAATTATAGCATCTACCTCATAAATTCAGCCTTCATCATTCCAGTAACCTCATGATCGTTACTTCGTCTCTCCCTCAAAAAAGCATCAATTTCATCAATGAAAATGATGCATGGCTGAAGCTTTTTAGCGACAGAGAAAACTCCAGCGACTAATTTATTTGATTCTCCGAACCATTTATCTGTCAACGTCGAAACATGAAGGTTTATAAAAGTAGCACCGGATTCCCGGGCTAGGGCTTTAGCAAGCATAGTCTTACCACACCCTTTTTATCAGAAAAATTATACAATATAATGATATGAGAACTGCCAAAATTTAAATTAATCAATTATTCAATAGGTACCTGGTGGTCCATGGAGCAATACTCCTTTGGGGACGCCCAATAGTCCCGACGTTGAAGTAAACAATTGTGGATAACATAATGGATATATAACAGACTCACGGAGAGATTGGATGATTGGATCAAGACCTTTAAGCGAAATTGTGATTAGCTATTCAATTATATTATTTCGTTGTAAAAAATCTTTTTGACAAAGGACATTACCGCCAATTTCTAATATTAATGAAAAAAATTGATCAGATGTTTCTTTTCCTGTAGTTGAACTTGTTAATTATATAATGACACAAGCACATACGTTTGAAGTCAACTGTTATTTCATCAGAAAAGATTACTTCTGATAAGATCACTTCCTCATATTCGTTTAATTTTAAATTTCGAGCCTGCTCAATTTAAAACAATTAAATTTAATATTTCAAAACACAAGAAAAATCTTAAAGCACATACCCCAAGTTTCCCCAATACTTCCTCACTTTTAGCTTTAGCTTCTTTCTTCTTCTCTTTGAGAGGATCAAGTGAATTGAGAATAAACTTTACGGCAAAGTAAAGCGCTACTTGAGATAATGCAAATATGACCACTATAGATCATAGGTTTTGAGGATATACATTTGTTAGTAATGAAGCATGCGCCCAGAAACAATATATTTTTTAGATCAGCATGATAGTGAATAAGTTTTTTTTTTTACCGTCTGCCACATATTTTCTTGTGTTTGGCGGTGCCATCAAATATAAACGATTTCGTGTTGCGTTATAAATTTGGAATATTTAAATACAGTCTGACCTCTCTATAGTCACACCCTAAGGATACAGAAATTGGTGATTATATAGAGGTGTGACAATTATAGAGGTACCTCAATATAGTCACAGCACTATTAAAAAAAGTAGCAATATCCAATCAAAGTTTCCGATTTGGTTACACTACATATCTCTGCATATTTACAATCTACCAGTCAGATAAATCATATACGTCAACTAATTGCTTCGGACTTAGTGATTTGACCCGTCTAAAATTTTTTACCCGTGTCATCCGACGGGTGGGCCACATGCCATCCGAGGTCAACTAGAAGTCTTTCCCACACGGGTCACCCGATGGATAAGCTATATATCACTAGGGTGCGAAAAAAAAAAGCCTGGTTAATTTCGGAAATTTCGAAGGCTATAAAAAAATGTTACACAATTGATGCTTAAACCGAAATTGGTATATATTATAAACTCACTTTCAGCAATTTGTATCTTTGAGCTGAGCTGGGCCTAGGCCCGATTGGTCTGATTTTGAAGACTTGCTACTGGCAGCAGGCACATGAAAGATACAAATTGCTAAAAGTAAGTTTAGTGTACTAATAATATATACTAATTTTGGTTTAAGCATTAATTATATTACATTGTTTTTATAACCTTCAAAATTTCTAAAATTAACTGGGCTTTTTTTTCTATATTTTATATATAATCTATATAAAATTAGATGTATTAACTTAAAAAAAAAAAAAACTTTATTTCTTGAAATTTATAACAACTTTGCTTTTTTTTATATTTGCTAGCTATTTATTATTCTAAAACTTTAATATATAGTAGTTATATACAAGTTTATAGGTTACCTGAAAAATGGTTAATAAATAACTTACAGATTGACCTATTTGACTAAATAAATATAAGTTGAAGTTTGTTTTTACTTTGAACATTTATTAGATTTTAATATTCTACATATAGGCCAACTTAAGAAATTGCTAATTTACTAATCTATTTTGAATAATTTAATTACCAAAATGTTTATTTTAATAAAATGTTTCTAATAAGTATAAAAATGTTAAAATTCAATTACAGAAACTTGAAATCATTCAAGTTTTATATAATTTTAATTAAAATTTTATTATATAAACAATCAACTTAGAAATAGTTTGTCTAAATAAATTTATATATATATAAGCAATTTATTCTTATTTAATTGTTTATATAATAAAATTTTAATTAAAATTATATAAAACTTGAATGATTTCAAATTTCTGTAATTGAATTTTAACATTTTTATACTCATTAAAAACATTTTATTAAGATAAACATTTTGGTAGTTAAATTATTCCAAATGAACTAGTAGATTAAAAGATATTAGCAATTCTTTAAATTAGCTTATATGAGTTGTTTGAAGTATAATAAAGAACAATCTACTTCTATATCATTTTATGCAATTAAAGTTTTTAATTTGATATATTATATATATTTGCATATTTACAAAAATAAACAATCTAATAATTAGATAAATTACTAAGTAATAAAAATTTAATTGCTTTAATAAAAATATATATATCAACTAATTGCTTTTTTTTTTTTTTTTTTTTTTTTTATTTAAGCAGTTACGCTAGTGCTTTATTAAGATTTTGAAACTACTATTGTAATTATATAAATTTACCTAACAACTAAGCCTAGCATCACCCGGCTACCCTAATGGCACC